GATAATTCTTCCAGTGTGGCCCAGGGAAGCCAAAAGATTGAACACCCTTGATATATAACAATCTATTTCATTTCAGTTGTATTAAATGAAAAATTGCTATACAGAAAACCACAAAGAGAAGAGTCTGTACTTTTAGTAATTTGGACCTGTTCTATATTTATAATAATGCTTTTACCCTCCTACGAGGAATTTTTAAAATCTTTAGAAGATGTTAATTAATCATTATGCTGTTCTGGAATTTATTGTAACTAATCAGACCAAAGATACTTAAAACTGATATTTCAAGAACCATACACATACATTGTAGTAAAATTTGATGTTTTCCTCTATGAGTTTTTATGACTGACTGTATTTTTCCTACTATAATTTTTGTGACTAGAAGTGATGGTGCAAAGGTCAAATAAATGTGCACCATTAAGCAACGCAACCTCACATTTCTAGATAATAAATCCCTCAGATGAGGAGAGGGAGAGATATCTGAAAGGTCACAGGCCCCTTACTGTCCCTTTGCACCTCTAGTCACCTCTGTCCACTGCACACAATGATTCTGCTACAAATTTGAGACTCCTCTCTGCTGGGATTCCTAAGTAAAACAGAATTCAGCACACAGTGCATGCTAAGGGTTATTAACTGGGCTCGTGATACAGCTTCTTGCACCCAGCTTTGAATAAATCAAGCTCTGTTGTTCACACCAGAATCTTGGACTTGCAAAGGAACTTAAAGATTCCTACTCCATGTCCCATTTTACAAAACACGAAACAAGACCCTTTCTTCAGGCTATGCCAGAGTAAAGCAGAGTTCAAGGTCAAAAGATAACACACTGCTTTTCAAATGTGAAGACCATGGACTGACTTGATAAAAGTAGTATCCACCTAAAGCAGGCCTTTTTTTCAGATAAACAAGTACATTTGCCAAGATTTTATGGGGTCAAATGATGATCAAGTCTGCCATGTTAGGACCATATCTATATTCCAAATCTGAGAGGAAAGATTCAGATTTAGAGTGTCTTTCAGAAAAGGACTAACAGCAGATTCCATTAAAATAGAAATATGTGTGGTCGGGCATGGTGGCTTATGCCTGTATTCCCAGCACTTTGGAAGGCTAAGGCAAGCAGATCACTTGAGGCCAGGAGTTTGAGGCCCTGTCTCTAAACAAAATAAATAAAATACATGAAAGGATAATACTTTGAATTTCAATATCACATTTGTTAAAGTAACTAAAGAGATTTAGTTATGAAATAAAAGGGTTGTTACCCTCAACCCACACTTTCTTACTCCATGCCAATGACAAGGCCAGTTTCTTTGCTGAAAGGCTCTTCCGCTTTCTCTACGATAAAAGCCCCATAAAAACTTTAAATCCCGGATGAAATGCCAAACCATCCATGAAGCTCTCCAAGATCTTCCCACTGCCCTGACTGCTCTCCACATTGAATAGAAAATCTTCCCACTCTAAGCTTCAATATTTCCTTATACAAACTAACTTCTATCTTTACATATGCTCTATCACACACTTCATTCATTCATTCTTTCAGCATCTAATTAGGGGATGCCTACTAAATGCCAAGGTCTCTTCTAGGCTCTGGAGAGAAAGCAGTGAACAAACAATCAGAAATCTCAGATTCCTTGGAACTGACACTCTAGTGGGTGAGGGAGGACAGGGAAAAAAAATACACTTTTTTTTTTTTTGAGACAGGGTCTCGCTCTGTCACCCAGGCTGGAGTATAGTGGCGGAATCATGGATCACTAAAAGCCTCAACTTCCCAGGTGTCAGAGATCCTCCTACCTCACAGCCTCCCAAGTAGCTAGAATCAAAAGTGTGCTCCACCATACTCAGTTAAGTTTTGTATTGAGACAGGTGATATGGTTTGGCTGTGTCCCCATCCAAATTTCATCTTGAATTGTAGTTCCCATATTCCCCATGTGTCATGGGAGGGACCCAGGTGGGAGGTAATTGAATCATGGGGTGGCTACCTCCATGCTGTTCTCATGTTAGTGAGTCAGTTGTCTTGAGATCCGATGATTTTATAAGGGGTTACTTTGCTCTGCACTTCTCTGTGCCACCTCCAGGTGAGAGAGGATGTGCCTGCTTCCCCTTCTGTCATGATTGTAAGTTTCCTGAAGCCTCCCTAGTCATGCTGAACTGTGAGTCAATTACACCTCTTTCCTTCATAAGTTACCCAGTCTTGGGTATATGTTTATTAGCAGCATGAGAACGGACTAATACAATGGGTTTTCACCACATTCCTAGGCTGGTCTCAAACTCCTGAGCTCGACCAATCCACCAACCTCAGCCTTCCAAAGAGCCGTGATTAGAGGCATGAGCCACTGCACCTGGCCAAAATAAATATACTTTAAACAGAAGAAAAATAAAAGGTACTAGGGAAAGAGGTACACTTTTAAATAAGGTGATCAGAAAAGGCCTCACTGAGTGATGCTTAAAGACCCCAAAGAGGTGATGAAACAAGGTTCCCAAGTGACTAGGGGAGGCTGGGTTTTCAGGAAGGGGTAACAACAAGCGCAAAAGCCCCGTGCCAGGAATATGCCAGGCATATTCAACTAGGAGCAAGAAAGCCATGTGGTTGGAGAGAATGACAACGCAGAGATTAGTAGAAAAGAAGTTTAGAAAAGTAAGGAGTAGGAGGGGCCTGACCATGAGAGACACTGAGAAGTTGGTAGGATTTGTGATTTGAAGGCAGGCTTGTTAAGAGTTGTGGTACTAAAGGGAGTGAACTGCAAAAGGGGTTGTTATTTGAAAAACTGAATACTTGAAAATGTGATCAGGGAGGGGGTTTTTAAATCAATGATAAGGTCTAGCATATGACCTTCAGAGTGAGGGCTGAGGTCGAATAGAGAGCAATAGTATTATAAGACGGGATAAGGAGAGTGATCTAATCTAATGACATAAGATTCAAAGCCGGAGGTTTTAAGGAGGGAAAACCTATCTGAAAGCAGAAGGGAGGAGGAGGGGATCTACCCAGCCTCCAAGCTCAGTGGTAGATCAAGAAGAGGAAATTACCATCACTTGAGAGGGCAGCAGAAGCAATGTTCATCAAGAGAGGCAGGTTTTAATTAGAATTAAAAGGTGAAGGGACTGCTCAGAAAAAAATACTGATATCAGGAATTTCTGCTAATGAATGACACAGTTCTTGAGGGCAGAGTGGAAGGGTTTGGGGCACTGGAGAGAAGTGGGATGTGGAGTCAGAATATGGGAGCTGGAAACTAATGCTCTGGGCTTCTTGTGATGAGTGGCATGAATAGTGATCACAGGATGGCAGTGGAGAGCAACAAATGATAGCGGGATCTTTCCAGAGGAGCATTCAAGAGCCCCTATTTACTTATGACCGTGGATGCCTGAAGGCATGAGACGGGCCAATCTTACTCCAGCCACAGCAGAGTCCCTCACTTGCTCACTCCTGTTCTGTTTAACATCATATTTTGTCTCCTTTTACATATTAGATCATAAGCTTTGAAATCAGCAAGAATTTTTTTTTGTGCTATTTAAATTCCCCTATTGATTGCTAGTAATAGACTACCCAAAATTTGTTCAAAGAAAAATTGAGTACTTCTTACTGGAAGGAAGGGGTGGTTGAAAAAGACAAACTATTTCCTACTCAGACTTTTCTCTGAGAACTCCTTAAACCTCCCATCTCTTGAAATTTTTCTCAGTCCAGTCCTAGACCAGGTGCTGTTACAAAAGTTGGTGCTTTGTGAGCATCTGCTGATGAAAGACCAGAGACAGCTCCCCTTTCCCAAGCAGTCACAATTCTGCTTATAATAATACTTGCCATCCTTGTGGAGTAAGGCATGAACAGCCAAACCAAAGTTAATTCTGTATGGACATTTCAACCTACTATGGTTTTTCTGGAGAATCTGGCCAAACATAGTGATGTTTGGTGACAAGTGACAAGGGTGACAGTCTTGCTACATGCAAGGGTTTGGCAAACCTGGAGATCTATTATCAGCAGGTCTGAACCAGCCTTTGCAACATTAAGGAATCAACAAGATATGGGCCTACCAGACAATTTGCCTGTCAGGCAGGAAAAGCACAGAATTTGGAAACAGACCTAGAATCAGACAGTTAGAAAGTATATGATCAAACAGCTGAGTCTCCTCCAGAAGGTGACTACTATCAGCTTTGCCATCTGGCCTTCATCAAGGCAAAGCCACTTGACTAGACCGGGTTCCATATGAAACTCTGTGGGCTTCTGAACTCACCTGTCTGCCCTAAAAAGTATAGCCCTCCAGTTTTTCAAAATCAAAAATATAATCACCTCGTTCATTTGCTTAAATCCATTTAGTGGCATCCCATTACCCTAAGCCTCAGTCTGAACTCCCTTACCTGCCCCCAAAGGCCTTTAGGATGTAAACACCACCATCTACTCTACCTCATCTCTCAGTCTTCTTTTACCCTTAAACTTTATATTCTAACAAACTCAAACTTCTTTACACTCCTAAAACATTCAACTCTATACTTGTTATTGGCCTGACAGCTTCCTAAGTAGTTTTATAAGTTTTAACCTTCTTCACCATCTAACTTTCAGGTCTTAGCTTACATGGCACATGCTCAGGGAAGCACTCCTTGCCTCTTAAGATGGGTTATCTCTGTCTCTACTGTATGTTGTTTCACACACAGATCTCACACCTCTGTAATTACTTGCTCAATGTTTTTTCTCCCCTATTAGACTATTATTTCTACAAAGGCAGCAATTGTGGCTGACTTGGTCACCACTGGAAAAGTCCTACCCAATGACTGGAACATAACAAAAGTAATTTAAAAACCTTTTTTTAAAAGTTGGGTGGATATACTATCTTTCTTAACATGATTGACAAAATGTGAGTGCTATGTATCTCAGGTCATTCTAGCTCTAAGCTAAGAATCTTTCCCTTACTGTATCCAGAAGAGTATCTTGGACCCAACTGAATATCTTTTAAACAAATAAATCCCATACAATAATATCCCCCAAATTGTTTAATTCAGTAAAATATGAAGTACAGACCACCTAAAACACTACATTTTATTTATAACTTTTCTATTGTTTTGGTCACATGTAAAGAATAAAAATGAAAACAAGAGACTACTGTGTCACATCAAGAAATAACTTGATCCAAAATGGATTCAAAAGGAGGACATATTTAGTATCAGTTCATATATTAGTAACTTATACATTTATTGTCAAGTATGACATCCAAAAAAGCACAAACAGTTTCTAACACGTTCCACCAAACTTCTGGTTTACTTTACATGTCACTTCCATGACTACCAACCACACATACAAAGACGAGGGTATACTTAGTGAAGATGGCTTTCCAGTAAGTTCACAAAAAAAACAACAAAAACCAGGTATGTTAAAATATAGCATAAGTAGCAATGGGGCCCTGAACTTACTTTGCAAAGATTGCCTAAGGCACCACTAAAATGAACAGTTGTAAATCCCTGATCAGACTTTAAATTTTTCCCGTCTTAAAATTTCAATTCTAACCACAAGGTGATGTGACTAGATTAGTTGGTATACTATTTCCTCTGTACCAGCATCTGCAGGAAATATTACATCTATCCTAAGCACTGTCACTCCGATATATATATATATGTAATATATCTGATTATATGAAGTATGAAAGTCAATATGGGTAATTTTTCTTTAAATGCATTTTAAGAACAAATGGCACTTGAATGAATGGTGGCACAACAGGGAAAATGACTATTTTAATATAAAACAATATTAAATCAGCATGTAATGAGGTTGAGTGTTAAAACTGAACATTTTATAAAATGATAATTTAGGCATTGTAAATGCTTTTATTCAAAACTGCAAAAAGGCACAAATTACCCTAGTTTGCTGGGATCACAGTTCTTACAAATAATAGCATCTACTGATGAACATAATCATGAATGAATTAAATGTTTTTGAATTTTAAAACAATTTAAAAAGAATAATTCTGATAAAATCATAATATAAAATAATGAAGACCAAATCCAATTGACAGTGATAACTATTATTTGGCCGTAGAAAACCAGGAATGCTCATGACCAGCAGTTCCCAAGTACCTTGTACAGTGACTCAGGGGCTGCTGAGGAGCTGGTTAAGGAGAAGGAGAAGTATGCCTAGTGACGGGGACCCTGCCTCAGCATCAAACAGATGTTCACTTCTGTTTTACTGCACATTGAGAATATGTCTAAGAAATTTTTTAAAGGCTTCTCGTGATTAAAAGAGAAAATTCCGAAAACCACAGCAACATATCTATGCTGTTTCCAAGCACACAAACAGAATTAGAACATCTGAGACAACTATGGCTCCAAACAGTGAGAAGAAGGATTAGTTTTCCTTTCTCCTATTATAATGTCAAAATGATGTGTCGTCTATTGAGCCATACTATGGAGCAGCAGACTACTAGTTAGGTACCTTCCCCAGTTAACAGCACACATCCAGAGGACAGCTAGCCAACTGGGAATGTGGTAGGTAAATGCTCACCTGAGCTAGGCAACCACCACAGCAAACAGGTCCCTCTCGGCCTGGCCTTGGCAATGAGCTGCTTCTGAGAAGCCACAGCTGTCTGTGGTTGAGAGCTCACTCCCTTGAGGAAGAGACATAGGCTGTAGGGCAGCTTTTCAATAAAACTGAGAGGCACATCAACGTGGCACTGCATGCATCCACTTAAGGATGTATGATAAACATGCTTCTTCAAATGGTAAATCATTAAAGATAATTGGCCAATATATAGATATGCATAGTTTTAGCACATAGGTCCTCAATAAAATATTACTGAATCTATTATGAAAATGTAATGTTCACCAAGTAATATGTGGTAAAAGGTAGCAGTCAGAAAAAGAAATTCAACTCTACAAAAATAAAAGCACACAAAATCCACTGTGTCTTTTTTTTTTTTTTTTTTGTAATGAAGTTTCACTCTTGTTGTCCAGGCTGGAGTGCAATGGCGCAATCTCAGCTCACTGCAACCTCCGCCTCCCAGGTTCAAGCGATTCTCCTGCCTCAGCCTCCTGAGTATCTGGGACTACAGGCGCCTGCCACCCCACCCAGTTAACTTTTTGGATTTTTAGTAGAGACAGGGTTTTGCCATGTTGACCAGGTTGGTCTCAAACTCCTAACCTCAGGTGATCTACCTGCCTCGGCCTCCCAAAGTGCTGGTATTATAGGCATGAGGCACCACACCCAGCCAATCCACTCTATCTTAATGCAAGAGTTGGAAAAGTTTTCTTTTTTCTTTCTTTTTCTAAGTTACAGCAGGTTTTATGCCTAATAAAATATGTTCTAGACATAGGAAATAGCACATTATTAAATTGTAAGATGTAATTTCGATTAACAGATAACCAGTATCATTACTTTAAAAATCAGATGAAAATGGCACTTTAAAAAAGGAGAAAGTGGCCGGGCGCGGTGGCTCACGCCTCTAATCCCAGCACTTTGGGAAGCCGAGGTGGGTGGATCATGAGGTCAAGAGATCAAGACCATCCTGGCCAACAAGGTGAAACCCTGTCTCTACTTAAAATACAAAAAAATTTGCTGGGCATGGTGGTGGGTGCCTGTAGTCCCAGCTACTCGGGAGGCTGAGGCAGGAGAATTGCTTGAACCCAGAAGGCGGAGGTTGCGGTGAGCTGAGAGTGTGCCATTGCACTCCAGTCTGGGTAACAACAGTGAAACTGTGTCTCAAATTAAAAAAAAGGAGAAAGTGACTAGGTGGACCTGCACAAATCAATGTATGGGACCTTAGCAAGGAAAGGATAAAATCTTTTTTTTTTTTTTTTTAGTACGTAGTTTTTCATTAGTTAGAAGGAAATGGAATTCTGAATTTCAACTGACAGGTTTGGTCCTCTTATCTTTCCTGGAGAAAGCAGTCCTAACCATTTTAACAAACATCAATTAAAGCAATCTAATTGTAGGATTCAGGACAACCTACTATCTGTGCATCTACAGTATCCTGAAAGTCACGCTCAGTTAATGAAAAGAAAGGCCAAATCTGACCATGTTTACAGTTTTCCATAATAAAATATCTAGAAAGGCAAAAAAATGGCTTACTTACATGAGGTTATTTTTACTTGTTGATTGTACATTTAAAAAAAACTAAGTATGTGCCTTTCCTGCTCATTCAGTACTTTTCATAAAGTCCTAAGATGAGTGCATGCTGTTTTGTAAACCACAGTGTCTAAACTGTAGCGAAAATCCGATGCATTGAAAGGTAATTTTTACCTCCCAGAAAAGCACTGTATACAGTTACGAGAACAAATTCAGTATCACATAATTTAAGCTCTCATTATCAGGTATAGACAATGGCTTATAAAACATACACAGTGAATCAGGTACAGCAGCCTGCAAACCACATCATCCCAACAGTTTTCCATTCTTCTTACTGACAAACATTTAAAAACAGCATTTTCATCATATGAAAGTAAACAAAAACAACAACAAAATAAGCTTTCCCCACACTAGATTCTAATCCAAAGAGCCTCACTGCAATTACTGTAAATCATTATCAATCGCTGAATTGATTGGGCGAAAATGGACTTGGCACAGTCCCCCCAAAAGATCCTAGAAAGAATGCTTTAAACAGATATAATCCATGGAGAGAGAGATTTACATCATAAATGCTGAAGGCAAAAAGTACATAAACTGGCAGATACACGATTTGGGGTGACAGACGGCACTGCTCCACATAACACAAAAGAATTCTGTGGAAGTGGTCACAGCTTCTGTTGTTTGGTGGCTGGGTTCTTGGGAGGAAGGAGTTTGTATGTGTTGAAGTAGCCCACCACCTGCTGGGGAATCTCTGCCAAGACACACTGAGCAAGTGCTTCTTTTGGAGCCTTGTGAAAAACAAAATCAAAGTGACTTTATTAACAACTGAATTTTTACTGGCTTTTTGATAAAAGACTAGGGATACTTCAGCAGCCACTAAAATGAAGCAATTCCAATTTAGAGGCCTGTACCTTTTCTTAGGAGCAGTCCATGAAATATGGAATGTGCTAACAACCAATGTTACTTATTATGATTGCTATTACTATCCCTGCTAACATTTGTCAAGTCCTTTTTTGGTGACAGCATTCTAACATTTGATAATTTTGTTGTTGTTGTTGTTTTATAACTTTTAAATGTGAGTCTTTCATTCACTTGGTATTAATTTTTTTTTTTACTTTTTATTTTACAACAATTATAGATTCATAGGAAGTTGCAAATACAATAAAGAAAGGTACCATGTACCCTTCACCCAGATTCCTCCAAAGGTAACATCTTGCATAACTATAGTACAGTATCAAAACCAGGCAGGTGACATTGGTACAGTTCACAGAACTTACTCTGATTTCTAGTTTTACATGTACTCATTTGTGTGGGTGTGTGTTTCTGTATAATTCTGTGCAGTGGGTGTGTATTTCTATATAATTCTATGTAATTCTGACACCTGGGTAGATCTGTGTAACCGCCACCACAATCAAGATACAGAACTACCTCCATACCACAAAGATCCCTACCTAACATTATTACTACTTTATAATCACAACACTCCCCTCCTTCCCCTCGCATTGCTGGTGGGAATGTTAAATGATATAGCCACTTTAGAAGAGTTTAACAACTGCTTTAAGAATTAAACATGCAACTACCATATGACCCAGCAACTGCAATCCTAGGTATTTATCCCAGAGGAATAAAAACTTATGTTCACACAAAAATCCATGCATAGGCTGGGTACAGTGGTACATGCCTGTAGTCCCAGCATTTAGGGAGGCCAAGGTGGGTGGGTCACTTGAGGTCAAGAGTTTGAGACCAGCCTGGCCAGCATGGTGAAACCTCGTCTCTACTAAAAAATAAAAAAAAAATAGCCAGGTGTGGTGGTATGAGCCTGTAATCCCAGCTACTCCAGAGGCTGAGGCACGAGAATTGCTTGAACCCGGGAGGCAGAAGTTACAGTGAGCCAAAATCGCTCCACTGCACTCCAGCCTGGGTGACAGAGTAGACTCTGTACCAAAATAAAAACAAAACAAATAAACAACAACCCATGCATAAATGTTTATAGCAGCCTTATGTATGAGAGAAAAAGTGGCAAAAGCCAGATATCCTTCTGTGAGGAAATAGTTACACACACAGTGGTATGTCCATACCATGGAATATGACTCAGCAATAAAAAGGAGTGCTTGCAAAAACTTGGTGATTCGTGAGAGAATGATGCTGAGTGGAAAAATAAGCCAATCTCAAAAGGTTGTATATTGTATTATTCCATTTATATGACATTCTTAAAATGACAAAATTATAGAAATGAAGTTCAGATTAGTAAGTGGTTTCCAAGGGTTAAGGAAGGGATAGAAGTAGAAGGGAGAGGATGTGGCCATAAAGGGCAATGAGAGGGATCCTTGTGATGCATCTTGATTATACCAATGTAAATATCCTGGCTGTGATTCTGTACTATAGCTCTGCAATATGTTCCCACAGGAGTAAACTGGGTAAAACAGTCTTCCAAGAGATAGTCATCAAATGAAACTTCCAGCTTGAGGGGAATTTGGCATACACTTACACAGAGTTTTTCCTGTTGTTACAAAGGTAAAGATAAAATACACATGACATTTGCAATACTATTCTAAAACAATTTATCATATAGACTGCAAGAAGCACATAATTTGCATCCTGAATCAACACTGCCAAATCAAATGGGACCTCTCAAATGGACAAAGAACAGTGTTCACACATCCTCTAGCCCCTCATACCTACTCAACTGCCTCGTTGTGTACGGGCAAAGGTCTGTGTTCAATCACTTGGGTGTCTGAGTAGGGAGGAGTGGTACTCACATTCTGGAACTGTCTGAAAGGCACAAACTGGACAATATCTCTGATGGCCACTTCGCCTGATGGGGAGCGAAGACTTCCACCATCACCATCCAGAAACTCCATGGCACCAAAGTCAGCACCTCCAACTCCAACAATGATGATAGACATAGGCAGTTTGGAGGCATTAACTATAGCTTGCCTGGTTTCATCAAGGTCTGTGATCACACCATCAGTAATAATCAAAAGTACAAAATATTGCTGCCAGAGAAAGAAAACAGGTTCACTGAGCAAGTCAAGCGATGGCTAATGGCATCTCTGGCTTGATGAGTCATCCAATCTTTCTTGTTCATTTTCCTTGCTAGTCTCTACCCTGGCTACCACCACATAAAATATTCTAAGCTTCTCTGATGACAAGGAAATGGACTCTTACCAAAATATAGGTTCATTAAAAGTGTAGGAGACCACAAAATAGGGTTGGCAAAATACATGGAAGCAAGACATCTAAATGGCAAAGATTAACCTTTCAATAAGGCTAGGAATAAACAGTTTAACTCAAGTATTAAATATGTCAAAGTATCAATCAAGGGAGCAAGTGGAAATTTCATTCTCAGAAGATCAAATAAATACAAAAATATTAGAATTATTTACCAAACTAAAATACAAAAAAAAAGATAGATATGGTTTAAGTGACAAAATCATTCTCCAGATTATATCACCTAAAATAAACCTTTCCAGAGAGCAGCAAAATGTTACATAAAGTAGTAACTCCATCTTTCGAGCCATTTAAGTCTAGAATAGAAATAAGAGTTACAATATTAGCTAACATATGTTGAGTATTTACTCTGACCCAGGCACTTACACTTTATATGACTTATCTAACCTTTACAACAACAGTATGAGGTAGTTCCCCTAACTTGCTTGTAAATATACTGAAGGTAAGAGAGATTTGGTATCCAAGGTCCAATAGGTCATGGTTAGTTCATTGAAATATCTTTATTACAATAAGAAATCCTGCAACAGCAACTCATGTGGTGGGTTTCCACTAGTCTTAATTTGTTATGTCTACTTCAAAAAGGTAGATGATAGGCATTTATCTAAGAAAGTTAATTCAAAGGACAGATACAAGACACATAAATGCCAAGTATTCTTTTGGTTGTTGTCTTATTTTTAACCATCACTAGTACAACAACAAAAATCACTCCCAAACCAAGAATCACTATTGTGTCTTGCCTTGACTTTGTATTATGACAATCCAAAAAAAATTTTTTAAATGGCACCAGGAGCTACCACCAATCCACATTCTTCCCATCCCCTGGCCACCGAATACTTACGGAAGCTGTCTGCTGTTGTGTGGCTGCAGCAGCAAACCTGGCCACATGATTTATGATTGGAGAAAAATTAGTTGGTCCGTAGAGTTTTATCTGAGGAAGGCAAGCCCGATACGCCTCTATAATGCCTTGGATTCCTAGAACAAAAAAAGCAGGATTAAAAATCTTCAAGCACAATGTGTTTATCCACCATACTGGCTAATTTGATTATATATATCAACATATAGTGCTTTAAACAGTCAAAAGTTCTATATGCAGAAGTTCCTCTAAACTCTGTGTTACATAACTCCATAGGTATGCTCCATTGCAAAAATCTATAACCTCTGTCCTCCTCCAGTAGAAGGGATTTACTCCCATCTCAGTCAAATTATTCATTAGTCTACAGTAGGACTGTTACATTTGTGTTTAATTTTTTTTTGAGCCGGAGTTTCACTCTCATTTACCCAGGCAATGGCGCGGTCTCGGCTCACCGCAACCTCCGCCTCCTGGGTTTGAGCAATTCTTCTGCCTCAGCCTCCCCAGTAGCTGGGACTACAGGTGTGCGTCACCATGCCCAGCTAATTTTTGTATTTTTAGTAGAGACGGGGTTTCACCATGTTGACCAGGATGGTCTCAATCTCTTGACCTCATGATACACCCGCCTCGGCCTCCCAAAGTGCAGGGATTACAGGTGGGAGCCACCACGCCCAGCCCATTTGTGCTTAATTTTAGTGCATGTTGGGAATGTAGCTCTCATGGAAAACCACAGAAAATGTTACACATCATACAACTGATGATAAAAGATAAGAAAGTGTTATTAATAAAATGAAAAATCATTCGCATATGCTGCCAGAGATTCTACAAAAATACCAGATGGCCATAAACCTAATATTAATTCTAGTTAATTAACTGATACAAGTGTTTATTCAATAAGGTAAAGGTTAATCATTGTATCACAGAGTATATTAGTTCCAAATATTCACTTCCAGGTTATTTATCCATTTTGCTGCAGAAGCACTGATATGTTTGTTTAGGGGTACTGCCCCTAGACCTGCTGGGGCGGTGTCATCAAAGCCACTGAGATTCAGAGATTGTTTATTAAAACAGCAGAACCCAGTGAAAGTTGACTGACATTGCTGGTCAAAGCACTGCTAATAAAATTTGTATCCCCCACACACACCTGTTGAATCCGCCTGTAATATCAGAGCATTTAGGATGTAGATAGGATAACAGAAATTCTAAAGAATTTCCAACAATACTTGCTGAGATCATCATACATACTTGCCACAAAAAAACTTAATGTAAATCAGAATAGGTCTCTTGCTTTTAAAATGTCTGATAGAACACAGATCAACAAAAAAGGGAAGCATATATAGTCATGGGTCACTTACCAATGGGGATAAATTCTGAGAAATGTATTGTTAGGCGATTGCATCATCGTGTGATCATAAAGTGTACTTACACAAACCTAGATGGTATAGTCTACTACACACCTAGGTTATATGGTGTAGCCTATTGCTCCTAGATTAAAAATCAGTACTGGATATTGATATACTAAATAATGTAGGCAATTAGATCAACTGTACCTTTTCTATGTCTTTACAGTAAAAATATAGTATTATAAGCTTATGGGCCTACTGTCATACATGTGGTCTGTCAATGACTAAAATGTCATTATGCAGTGCATAATCATACTTGGCTTAAAAGCTTCATGAAACCAACTCTCTCCTCTTAAAATTTAAGGGTTCCAATAAACTCCCCTTAGTTCCTTTGAACTTAGGAACAGGTAGTCTTATGAACAACCTTTGAGAACGTAACTAATTCATATGCAGAGGTGATTTTACATGTATAAGGTCATTGTAACTAAGAGTCAGTCCAGTAGTAAAAAAGGTAAAATAATTCATTTAATTTCTTCACAAATATCAATAGCCTTCAATTCCTCAATTAAAACTGAATTGTGCCAAAACCCTTTCCATGCATCAAAGTAACAAGTTATTTCTAAGGCATATTATTTCTAAGGCAACTAAGTTCAACGATTAGTTAGGAAAAGGGGAAGAAACTCCCTTGCCTTAAAATAAGGCTCTGAGATTTTTGCTGGACAGTATCCCCTTTGTTTAAAACCAAACTGATGCTTTTTCCAGAGTGTAAACTACTTGGTGAACAGCCCAAAGATGAGCTTACATTACTTACACAGTGACTAAACTTCTAAAATGAATTATGTCACCCATATTCTGTTACAATAAATGAAAGCGAATTACAACAAATTCTAAAAATTATTCCCCTTTCATTATAAACATGAAGCATATTTCTTAAAAAGAATAACATTCCCAGTTTCAAATGCTAGGGAATAGAAGAAGTCATAACCAGCCACTGAAAGTGGCTCAAAGGAACACTGAATTAGTATGGAAAAAGTGTTCTGGGGAAAAGAACAAAACCATATTGCAAACTGCTCCCCTGTCCCCCGCAGAATTGTTCATGCTCTTCCACCTTATGAATATTGTTTAGGAAGAAAAGGAAAAAACACTTTCTTCTCTTATAAAGCTACACATTTGTAATTGTCAAAAGAGCCCTTAGCAGAAAATTAGCTTATTATCTAGAATTTTAAATTATGCCTCTGCTCCCACACCTACTTTCCCTTCTCCAAACTCTTCAGTATTGTATATGATTTATTGGAAGAGCTAGCATTTCCAGTTGATTGCTCAGTGTGGTAAAAAAAACAAAAACAAAAACACACACAAGAAGCGCTGGGACATTTGAGGTATAAGGAAAAAAAAAACATGGCTGGCATGGTGGCTCATGCCTCTAATCCCAGTACCAAGGCAGAAGGCAAAAAGATAGCTCGAGGTCAGGAGTTTGAGATCAACCTGGCCAACAGAATGAGACCCTGGCTCTACTTTTTTTAAATAAATGAAAGAAAAAAGTAAAATGAAAGACAAATGTCTGCCTCCTGCTCTCTACACAGAGGAAAGCTGCTATAGAAGCTCAATTCTTTGTTTCTTTTGCCCATCTCAGCTACTTACAGAATACTATGTGAGCAACAAGTATTAGATGCTGGATACTTTTTTCTTTGTAGAAAGTGACTACTACTTTGAAAAAAGCTTCAAAAGATCTGTATATTAAATTATAAATTTATTGAAGGTTTCTTTTTAAATCAATTTATATGTGAAAATACTTTTAATATATGATTATTTGTATTGATCTACTCAAAAGATTGAGAATTTTTTTGTCCCATGAAAGTTACTAAGGTAGAAGGAGTTAGCGACAACCTTCATCATCATAATACTGATTTGCCCCATAAATATCATTACCGGCCAGGCGCAGTGGCTCATTCCTGTAATCCCAGCACTGTAGGAGGCCGAGGCAGGTGGATCACGAGGTCAAGAGATCGAGACCATCCTGGTCAACATGGTGAAACCCCGTCTCTACTAAAAATACAAAAAATTAGCTGGGCATGGTGGCACGTGCCTGTAATCCCAGCTACTCAGGAGGCTGAGGCAGGAGAATTGCCTGAACCCAGGAGGCAGAGGTTGCGGTGAGCCGAGATCACGCCATTGCACTCCAGCCTGGGTAACAAGAGTGAAACTCCGTCTCAAAAAAAAAAAAAAAAAAAAAAAATCATTACCACCCTAACCACCAATCTCGTGCAATTCTTCTACATTATACAACAGAAAGTTAAATATGTAAGAAGATGAAACCTAGAGATGAAATTTGAGTAGTTTTAATCACAAGAAAAAAACAACAAAGTAAAGACTAGTGAGCCTTTCTATCTGAAGTAATCATGTTTGTTTTTTAACTTACCATTACAGTAGGGATTGGATGAGTTGAAGTTCATTGGAAATTCATGTGATACCTGTCAAGGACAGAAAAAGGACTGATGAGGCCTGGGTTGCTTTTCTAGGAGGCAAGGCTTTAAAATGAGATTTCCTCTTACCTGCCACTGAGGAGGTATCTGAGCTCCAAAACCAAAAGCTGGAAACATCTTATCACTAAAAAGAAAAAAAAATTAATAAAATGTTGTTTTTTCAAAATAAAAATAGTTTTATCTTTGCTCACAATAAAATCAATATGAGCTCATTTAAAAAACAATTTTTCGGCCGGGCATGGTGGCTCAAGCCTGTAATCCCAGCACATTGGGAGGCCGAGGTGGGTGGATCACGAAGTCAGGAGATCGAGACCATCCTGGTCAACATGGTGAAACCCCGTCTCTACTAAAAATACAAAAAATCAGCTGGGCACGGTGGCGTGTGCCTGTAATTCCAGCTACTCGGGAGGCTGAGGCTGGAGAATTGCCTGAACCCAGGAGGCAGAGGTTGTGGTGAGCCAAGATCGTGCCATTGCACTCCAGCCTGGGTAACAAGAGCGAAACTCCGTCTCAGAAAAACAAAAACAAAAACAAATTTTCAAAATCTTAGAAAAGTATGAAGATAAAACAAAGATTACCTATATTAACTGCCAAAGAGAATCAGTGCTAATATTTGACAACTCTCATTCTAGATCTTTTTCTGTGCACTGAGGGAGAAAAATACTTCTCCCTATAGATTTTATAGAAATGGAGTTTATAGTCACGTTTTATAATCTACTCTACTTAAATCTTGTGTATCATTTCAGTGATCAAATGAGTAAATACATGAAGCCCTGAAAACCACAATTCTTTATTTTTATTTTTATTTTGTTTTGAGACAGAGTTTTGCTCTTGTTACCCAGGCTGGAGTGCAATGGCACGATCTCGGCTCACCGCAACCTCCACCTCCTGGGTTCAGGCAATTCTCCTGCCTCAGCCTCCCAAGCAGCTGGGTCTACAGGCACACCCCACCATGCTCGGATAATTTTTTGTATGTTTAGTAAAGATGGGGTTTCACCATGTTGACCAGGATAGTCTTGATCTCTTGACCTCGTGATCCACCCGCCTCGGCCTCCCAAAGTGCTGGGATTATAGGCGTGAGCCACCGCGCCCGGCCATAATTCTTTTTTTTTACTTGTTTATAGCAAACTCATTTGGTAGCAAAACCTGACCTCAAATGATCAGAGGTTATCAGTAGCTTTTATTTATGCCACCTAATACAAATATTCATACATTAGGGATGGGGACAGTGGACCTGAATATATAGCCACTGAGTATCCCACAGTATGAATATCCTCCCCGAGATGTCTGATAGTCAATGTTCTGCCATTATAAAACATTGTAATGAACATAATTTTTCTACAAGGAATATTCTTTTCATATTTATTCTTAACAGTTAGTTTTGCATTGAAGATAGAGCTGATGCCATGTCAGAAATATTTCTCCCAGGCTGAGGTGGGAAAATCACGAGGGCCCAGGAAGTGAGGGTGCAGTGAACTGTGGCTGCACCACTGTACTCCAGCGTAGGCGCCAGAGCGAGACCAAAAGAAAGAAAGATACATTTTTTCCCCAGTTTGTAGTCTGTCTTCAACTTTGTTTAAAGCGTCTTTCTTTGGTCTTTCTTTTCATAGTTTTTAATATTAATGAATATGAATGCAAAAAATGTTTCATGATTTTTGCCTTTGCTCTCTTGCTTAAAGGTTCTCCAGCTGAGCGTGGTGGCTCACGCCTGTAATCCTAGCTCTTTGGGAGGCTGAGGTGGGTGGATCGCCTGAGGTCAGGAGTTCAAAACCAGCCTGGCCAACATGGTGAAACCCTATCTTTAAAAAAAAAAAAAAAAAGTTTTCCTCACTACAAGATTATAAACAATTCACATATATTTTCTTCTAGAACTTTAAAGTTTGCTTTTGATATTAAACTCCTAATTCATCTGGAAAGTGTTTTGAGTAGGATATAAGCAGAAATTGCTGCTCTCTAGCAATATCCATTCTCTCCTTTAATAATAGAACACCAGCCAGGCGCGGTGGCTCATGCCTGTAATCCCAGCACTTTGGGAGGCTGAGGCGGGCAGATCACAAGGTCAGGAGCTAGAGACCAGCCTGACCAACATGGTGAAACCCCATCTCTACTAAAAATACAAAAATTAGCCAGGTGTGGCAGCCCGTGTCTGTAATCCTATCTACTCAGGAGGCTGAGGCAGGAGAATCTCGAACCCAGGAGGCGGAGGTTGCAGTGAGCCAAGATTGTGCCACTGCACTCCAGCCTGGAAGATACAGTGAGACTCCATCTCAAAACAAAAAAACAAAACAAAACAAAAAATAAATAATAGAACACCTGAGGTAGAGACTGCACCTCCTAGCTTCTTTGGGCTGGATGTGATCAGGTGGCTAGGATTTGACGAAGGAGATGTAAGTAGAAGTGATTTGCCACCCACTTCTGAATCACACCCCTAAAAGGGAATCCACACACACTCCCTGGTCCCTTTCTTCTCTTCCCACTGGTTGGAGAAGATAAGAACCAGAGCTATGGACATGGAACTTGTGAATTGAGAATAGCAGAACTGCCCTATCAGTTCTGAACTATTATACTTACCTCTAGACATGCAACATGAAGTGAAATAAACCTCTATTTTGTCAAGGCTACTTTGTCTTTGTGTGTTCATTTCAGCAGTTTGGTCTGTACTCTAATAATATCCTAAAACATGCAAGTATGAGTCAATTCAATTCTTGTCCCAATGATCCAAATTCAATTCTTGTCCAGTTTGACAGCTTTTACAACTCCTTCCCCTAAATTCACTTATACACATGGGTCTATTTTTGTACTGTTTGCTTGGTTCCACTGGTCATATCCTAATTCCATACTCTAAATTAAGATAACTTTTTAAATATCTGCTAGTGAGAAATTATTAATTTTTAAATTCTATATTATATCTGACCAACTTTCTAAGCTCTCACTACTTTCTAATAAAATAACTTTCTATATATGTTAAATATATTTAATGATTTTTCCCTTAAAACTTACTAGCCTGAAATTGGAATTGCCATCTTACTTCAGATTTATTTGCATTTGCCTAAAAACTTCACCTCTTTAAATGCTACAGAAATGAAAAGCCCCATCGACATGTAAATAAAATAATAATAGACAAAAGCAAGTGAAAATATATTCTCTACTCCTAACAGGTCCAGGAAAAACACTACTAATGCAGGCAGACATTTTCCCTCTTGTTTCGTAAACCCTCAAGAGGACCTATTTAATATTTAAATCTATTTAAAACCTGACCATTAATAACCATTCAGAATATTTTATATCAATTAGATCTAGTTATCCTTCAGCACTTGTTAAAAGTCACCATTAAAAAGTAATTTGGCAACTACCAAGGAGATAGATATGTTAAGAAATAGTTTTATTAGTGTTCATAAAACATGTCATCTGGGCTTTAATCACTCATATAACTTATGCCTAATGAATAAGTGCCAGACCAAAGAAACAAGATCCTTGCTGACATCAGTCAGGAATTAAATAGCAAACTATATGTAATATAAAGCAAAGTATATATAACATATAACTAATCACAGCAAGATATTAGAGATCAAAGGTGAACAGTAAGATTGCCACAAAGAGAAAAATAGAAGAAGATAAGACAAGGGAGATTTTAGGGAGAAAGCATCATCCTACCACCTATGTCAAAGCACCAGCCAATGAAACAAAACTACCCTTTCTTGGGAATTGTGAAAACACGTATTTTCATTTTTCCAAAGTCATACTCACGCATCATAATCCTGAATGACCAGTCCCACAGACCAGATAGCAGTCAAATACTCATTAACGCCATTGGGACTGATGTAATGAAGGGAGTCTGGAGACCTTGGGTCACCATTGGAGCCAGTGAAGTCCACTCCAACCTGCCAAATAACAATTGCAGCCCTTACTAAGGAGAAGGCAGGGACACCTGTGCTTGATGTCCAGGAAACTTAAAGACACAGGATATGCAAACTTAAAGCATTCATCCTGGAGCCTACTGCCACTTCCTAACAAAAGCCTGCCACTGTTTCCATAGACAAACAAATAAAGCCTAAATGTGAAACAACCTGCCGTACCTATTTTCTAGATGGCTTAAATAATAAATTATTATACCCATTATTTAGGCTTAGGGGTTGTCTTTTATAAAAGTTTGTCTCACTAATGCTTTCTAGTCCTTCAATTACTTCAGGATAACCACTGTTTTTTACACATCTGCTTTCTCTCAGAAGGAAGAGATTTCATCAACAAAGCTGAGAGCTTCACGGTGAGCCCAGACAACCTGCCTGAGGATTCCAAGGAGACTATGCTAAACAGAATGTAAAAATTTTATCACAAAGTCAGTTTTGCAGTGAAGGAAAAAATACTGCAACATGGAGAAAAAAGCAACTTGTTACAGCCTATGCTGAAAAATTCAGTGTATTACTTACAGTAAAATTCAGCTGACATCCTCCCATTATGTAGTCAAGGAATGTGCATTCTACTGTAATCTAAAAAGAAGAGAAAACTGTTAAAATTACAACTCTCCTACTATACAAGGGAGGCATAAAAATCTTTGGCATATATTTTTAAGTTTGTAAACTGAACAGGACATAATATAAACATGGAAATAACCCCTGTATTCAGGTTTAAGGTACCCCTTCCCCTATGTGCCATATATCTGTAAGATTTTACTTTATGATAATTAAAGCAATGTTAAGATTAAAATATTAATGGCCAAAGATGAAATATACTCACTTTAACTTTTAAAATATTAGTAATGAATCCAGTATGTTGGATTTAATAACCATAGTAGTCAAGATTTTAAAAAACAAACACTCTACTTGTTCATCTTAAGAAATCTTGGCTTTTCCCCTCTATTCACAACATTTCATATTGAAATTATGATGAGGATAAATGCGTTGGGTCAGGTCATATCTATTAATGGGCTGAGAAAATACTACGATGCTTTAAATTTCCTAAGATAATGAAAAACTTGTCCTTTGCTAACAAGTTGTTAAACCTTGGAGGCAGGTTACTCGAAAGATTTTTTTCTTGCTCTTCCCTACTTGATCCTTTTTGCTAAAGGTGACCAGATACTCATGTGATTTTCAACTGCCTGAAATTCAGTTATCTGTTTAATATAAACCATACTAACAGGAGAACTTGAAATACATTCTCATTATAAGTAGCCAAGGCCAACTGACCTCACACTGTTTCACACTGATAACACCTGAATTCTTGTAGCTTTTTTTCTTTTGCCTCTTTTTCTCATTTATGCATTCAAATTCAACCTACAGGAAGGGAAGACAAAATGTTACTTTTTATTAGCAATATTAGAAATGCCAATGTGAATTTAAAGGAATGATTTTTTTTTCCTTTAGAATCAAAGTACCGACTGATATAGGTCTGCTGCAAAATATAACTCTGAAACAATTACAAAACATGTTAAGCATGTGGAATATTTATCAGGTAAATTCCCAACAATTAAGGCACTCCTAAAATTGCACACCTTTCAAAATAAATTTTACCTCTACACGTAATTTCCTTGGAAATATTCCAAGTCATAATCTTTCCACTTAATAATAAAGGAAACAAAATATGACTACTAGCTGATACTAACATAAAGAACAAAAATATGCTGCAAAGAAAAGAAGATAAAAAGTAACATCATAAAACAAATATATGAAGTCCAACTCTATGGTAAAATATGCAGCAAAGATCTTCTCTTTCCACTGGGAATACGTGTTAGAAATTGATCTAACACCTCCTTTTGCTTCATATTTCCTTCCCCCAAAATACTGATCTTCCTTCCCTCTCCTATCCACCCCACCCATATTTAGGGCTTGGCTCAAGTTGTTCTCCTCTATAACTTCTACTACTCTAGTCTTCTCTGATCTCCATCTACCTCTTTAAATTTCTACAACTATATGAAATGTAGTTACATACTCCGTGTTATTCTCAAGTGTCTCATTTAATTTTTTTTTACAATGACATTATAATCACCTTTAAGTTATACCTTCAAATTCTCACTGTCTTGTCTAATAATAATATAAAAGATATTCAGTACTTGATAAGTCACCTCTTCTGGTTAACACAAAGCCACTTATGTACTTCAGACAGTCATTACTAGCTTTCTAAGAATCAAACACTAAAAAATACATGTGGTATAATAGAATGATGTAAAACAAAATTATGTTAAAGAAATTCTCTGATGTTTCAGGATCTTGCCAGAGTCTCAGTCACAATCACAAGTATTAATAATTGAGTATTAGAAATTTTTTAAAAAAGAAAAAAACTAAAAAAAAAAAAAAGAAAAAGAATTGAGTATTAAAGCTACAGAAATTCCACAAACAGAATTCTCATTGAAAAAGGGCTAGGTTACTTCACTTATTCATTTATACCTTCAGGCTCAATAAGTGCTCTTTAGTCCTGCTGAAGCCTATGCTTAATGATCCTCAGGCCCAGCTTTCAGTATTTCATAGTTTATTTGAGAGGGGTAGGGTCATTCTACTACCACACTAGATGGGTGCACTGGGGCTAACTGCTCTGCATTGGCTGCTGGATGGAACTGCTGGCCATGGAAACCAATGCCTACTTTTAAAGCTGATACTGCGCTATCTCTTCTCTCTGTGAGTAAAGTGTGGTTCCCTCTAGAGATTGTGGGCATTGTGTTTGCCTTGGTGACTCAATACCATGATACAATGGGAAAAAGGTTTGGAATTCTATTCCTAGTGACTGACACTGTGATGATCTTTGCTTTCCTCCATGTAGTGGCAGTCCTCATCTGGCATTAGCAACTGTTACGTGGTGTTCTGCTCAATAAAATTCATATCCCAAGCATGAATTGTGGATTAAGTGATTACTAAACATTTCAAAGCATTATGCAATATAGAGTAAAAGCATAGTAAACCGTTTGATGCTACAGGAGAAAAAGTAAATACAGTAATAAACACATGGCTGAACTATAAAGTATATGCAAATGCAAAGATGTAACTTACAGGTGAGCTTCTGGAGGCTTCTTTCAGTTTTGTCATGGTGGTTTGAAATGTTCCAATGAGATCATGTGACCCATCATTGTCATAATCATAACACTCCACCTGAAATTAAATATAATAAAAAAATATAAAAATCAATATAATTTTATTAAAGAGTATTGGCTGCAATCAATATAATCTATCATGAAGTGCCCTTTTAATTAAACTAAATGAAAATGTATAATATGCAGTCCCTACTTGGGAAAGTAGGAATTAACATCCTAGAGAAGCAATAGTGAAACCCTTTCAAACCCCAGGTATCCTCAGAATGGGGATCTGAGACCGAACACAGGCAGATGAAAAACACAAATACTGTTTCAATTCCACATTAAACAATTTCCAGCTCCTCTATCATGCCTTCTCTAAGTGCTGATAAAGGGCAAAATGGAGTTATATACCTTCTTTCTCATCCACTTCTTTGCCTTATTACTATGCAATGGCTAAAAGCCATTGTCTGGAGAGAGAAAGGAAATCAACATTCTAGGAAGCTAAAAATTATATAATTAAATCCTAGATAATTTAGAATTATGAAAAACATATTTCATTAGCTACGATCTGGTGAGGATAGGCTTGTATTAGAAGTTAGATATGATGACGCCAGATTTGCATCATTATGAAGATCACAATTCTTACAATGAAAAGAACAATTCCAGGGTAAGAATATCTAGTCCACTGAGGAAGTATCTACACTGGGTCATATTTACTCTATTTCCATGTGAGACAGGGTGAATTCTAGTCTTAGATCTGGTTTTGATTAAATACTCTCTATCTCTGAAAGGAGAAAGAGTGGTGAAAGTATTTGAATTGCATGTAATTTCGTGACAGCTTGACAGAGCAGTCAGAGTAAATATTCACCAGAATACTAGAACATTCTTTGCAGGAGAAAAGTTAGATGGCATAAACTTTCAGCAAGGGAAGCTGAAAACTGACCATGATTGTGAACATTTAACACCAATTTTTTTATAGTACTTTACATCAAAACAGATTTCATTTCTGCAAACGTTATGTACAACACTGTACACATTCTCTAAACAACCTTGTGAGGTAGACAGAGTGGGAATCCTGTTACTATGATGCCCATTTTACAGAACTAAAACTAAGAGGAATTAAATAAAAAGTCTTAGAAGATGGTATGCCTTGTGTGGTAACCAACACAGGTAAAGTAAAGCTGTGCTAAGGACACTTTGAAATCCTACAGCCTGTACTTTAAAATGAAAGCATTTACCATCAGCCAATAGAGAGATTTATCTTGCTAATATCCTTCTCAAACTTATTAACTGCCAAACTAAAACGCTCAGGATTTTATATGTTTACTTGGCAAAGTGACTGTTTTTCCCCTCAGTTCTATGAAATGAATGCTTATCATAAGTGGAAGTCTTTCATTCCTTACTTGTATTTTCATTATTCTTCAGGAACACTAAAAATCAATCAATCAATTAAAACAGCCAAGATAGAGAATTTCAATTTTGAGTAACAGAAAGAGATTTTATTTGTTTAAGAAAATGCTTTGCAGGTATTTTGGCCACTGACCAAGTCTAACAGTCTGACTCTTGCCCTATTTAGTATCCAATTTTTAAACCAAAAGCCTTTTATATGACTCCTTAATGTGCCAAAGGAAAATAAATTTAGTAATTTCCATAATTATTTAGAGGAAGTAATAAGGTACAAAACAAAGTATCTTATTTTAATAAGTTCATGTTTTTTTAAACAGACATTTTTCAATTATAGAAAACAGAACTTTATATTTTAGATTTGCAATCAGGAAACACCAGTTTATAGCTAAGACAAAATTAAGTTTTGACAAGGCCAAGATTTTATTTAAATAAACATTATGAAGGGCTAAAATTGTTCGTCTGTTTAGACTGTTCATATGTTAAAATTTCAGGAAATGTAAAAAATATTTTTAAACTAAAAGTTTTGATTACTCACTACAACGAATACATAGAAAAAGCTCTCTCTTGTCCCCTTTAAGGCAGACATGATATTTATAATGCTGGCATATGTTCAAATATGGTTTGAGGTAAGACGATTTGTGTTATTTAATTTCTCTCTTTTTAAGAATTCAAAGACTCGTGCTATGGGCTGTTTAAACAATGGCATGCATAACAATACATGCATATATACATATGCATATGTATATATGCAAGTATTTAATATATACATGTATTCATATACATTTAATGGATTATATAATATACATATATACATGCATATAATATACATAATAAACATACAGTAAATTTATACATATATACATATGTGCATATGTATATATGAAAGAGAATGTACACACCACACAACACTACATTCACTAAGGCATTCCCATTTTAGGCAAAGTGGCAGCATGCATGATTTATTTCTCATATTTACTTGATCTGACAAAAATAATACATGCTAGAATAACACACTGCAGCAAAGAAACTGCTGAGGATTCTGACTCTATTCTCTGCTCTAAAACTCTTTACTATCCCTATAAGCAATTTTCAAACAGAAAGAGAATCACAAATGTATGACTTTCTGATATTGCAAAGAAATACAGAACTAAATGAAATAAAGTCAGTGATGATGTAGCAAACCAAGTTGTGTATGGTTAAAAACAAACCAAGACACTTTTAGAAATGGAAGACACTCATCAGAAAAAGCTCAGAAAATCAGTTTACTTACTATAATAAAATAGCCCTGTAAGCAGGCCACTGTGAGCAAAAAAGTTTAAAAAATACTGTGTTGCTGTTAACATGTCATTATACACAATCAAATGGTTATGGCTTAGACATTTTCCCCAGGTTTTCTTGCCTTCTGACATCTAATGATGTTCTATTTTTAATATGAAAAGCAAAAGTCTGCATTTGGCATAATGATAAAAAATAATTTTTATAACTAGTTTTCAACTATTTATTTCGGACCTGGATTTTCACTACTGTCTGAAATACCACGTAAATAGTATTTAGATTGATTTTTAAAGTTCTTTACACACTGGAAGCAATTTCTTATGGATCTCAGAAATGAAGCAGTTTTTTTGTTTTTTGTTTTTTTTTTGAGATGGGGTCTCGCTCAGTCACCCAGGCTGGAGTGCAGTGTGAAGTAATCTTGGCTCACTGAGACCTCCACCTCCCAGGCCCAAGTGATCCTCCCACCTCAGCCTCCCGAGTAGGTAGGACCACAGGTGTGTACACCACACCCAGCTAACTTTTGTATTTTCTGTAGAGACAGGATTTCATCATGCTGCCTAGACTGGTCTTGAACTCCTGAGCTCAGGCAATTCACCTTCCTCAGTCTCCCAAAGTGCTAGGATCACAGGCCTGAGCCACCACGCCTGGCAAAAACGAAGCAGGTTTTCAGTAACAATGGGGCACAAAATTTTTACAAAACTTTCACTTTTGCTAATTTAATCTTTGCTTTTCTGCAAGGTAGAAATTATTAACTCTGTTATAAAAGTGAAGAATCCAGGTGAAATTTCCTACTAATAAGCAAAATAAATAAATAAATGTGAAAAAGTTCAGTTGCCTGTCCAAGATCCCTTAGTCAGTTAAAGGACTAAATCAAAACTTGAACTGTGGTCTACTCCATATCTTATACGTATTCCATATCACCTTGACTGCTTTTATCATATTCATTGTCAAAAAAAGAGAAAAACAAACAAAAAAAACCCTTTGATCTACTGATGTTTTAACATAAAAAAGACTTCTATCTGTAATCATGTAAAGATAATTCTAGTACAAAAGTGTCATATATATATATACATGTATGTATGTATGTATAGATTTTTCAATCTCAACACCACTCCATGAGTTTTCCTTTATTTAGACATTCACTTTTTTTAGTAAATACCTATGAATAAAAACATTAAAAAAAAATACTGAGACATCTGCTATTTCCTGTGCATATTCCACTTCCCTGTAACTCTAAAAGTAAAGCCGTCTAAAAGCCTTCAATTAATTACTTATCTCATTCTGAAAATAAAGCAAAAAAATGCCATCAATACTCCTCTCCCTTGCCAAGGATAGAAGCAAGCTCTGAGTTCTTAGGGTAACATGTGCTTCTATCTGCAACAGACATACCAAAGGCAAATCATGCAGTTCGAGGTTCCTATTAGCAGAGCAGAGGAGTCTTATCAAAAGGAAAAAATATTAAACTGGACATTTTATTTTTAAAACTACAGAATAAAATAGAAATTACCCTGTCTGACTAAGCATTAGGTCAACAGATTAGTCAAACATGCCTACTCCTCAAACTTCGTCACTTACCATAAGACATTTTCTATTTTAGTATTATTCTATACACAAAATTTAACTCTATAGGTGTCTGTTATATCAATTACTTTCTTTAAATAATATCTTATATGTTAATCTTAAAAATAGATGAACATGTGTATATTTTTGTATGTATGTATTACATATATATATAAAATTTCAAATTACCTTAATGGTTTTGTCCATATCTCCATAACACAGGGAGTTAAGAGAGATCTTAAAAGGCCTCCAAACAGGATTCAAGTTGTTTTTAATGACCTATAAAATGCGGTTTCAAAAAGCTGTTAGAAAAACTTCCAGTTCATTACACGAAAAATGTAGTAAATTGTCCAGTTGTGGTACATTCTGAGGAAAGAAGAAAACTATCTGGAAAATATATCTACTTATTACAAGAAACACTTAGAAACTGCATAGGATGGCCGGGTATGGTGGCTCACAACTGTAATTCCAGCATTTTGGGAGGCAGAGACGGGCGGATCACCTGAGGTCAGGAGTTTGAGACCAGCCTGGCCAACATGGTGAAATCCTGTCTCTACTAAAAAAATATAAAAATTAGCCAGATGTGGTAGTGCACACCTATAATCCCAGCTACTTGGGAGGCTGAAACAGGAGAATTGCTGGAACCCAGAAGGCAGAGGTTGCAGTGAGTGGAGGTCGTGACACTGCATTCCATCATGGGGATAGAGCAAGACTATGTCTTTAAAAAACAAAAAGGAATTGCAGAGGATTACTGATTTTATTAGCAGCCAAAGTTTCATTATAGAATAAGAAAATTAAGATATAAGAAAAGGTAAATATGGAATAAAAAACTCACTGTGTTGGCGTTGAGTTGGAGAACTAAGCCTACATTTATAATTTAAAATTGTAATACTATATAGACACACATAATAAACAGATAAACACAAATATACACATTTCTTAGCTGTGTCCACTGAAAAGGACTCAAAGCAATGATATCCAGCAGCAATGAGCACATTTAGCATTCAGATGTCGGTGTCTAAATGCTACTACGCTGTTATAGGAATAGGGTTTATTAAGAGACATGGCTCATTCTGGCTCTGGGACAGGGAGAGTACCAGGGGAACTGAGAACATCCTCTAACTTTAGAGAATGCTTAAAGACAAACGAGGTCAAAAAGAAAAACCCAGAGCCATTTAAAGGAGCTCTCTCTAGTCAAACTTAGATTAATCTGAGCAGCAAAAATACATTAATGAGTTAAATACAAAGCATACACTGTTATAACAATCCGTGAGTTTAAAATGATACTAAAAAGGAAAGTGAGAGAGGAGATGAAAGAGGAATGCCTCTAATATAAGTAAATAGGATAAAAGATTTTGAAAAATCACAATTTTATTGCCTACGACACAATAATTGATTAGGCAAGGATCATCAATGGATGCTAAAACCACTGGTTGAAATGCTGGGTAATTCATGCAGTCTCATATTTTCACACCACGTATCACTTATTCATTACAAAGGAGAAAAAATGGGACTTTATATGGTGAGAGCTGGTGGTCCCCAGCTTAACCAAGTAGCCAAGCATGACACCATCAATGCTGGGAAGGCTGGCACCATAAGCCTCCTGAAAATGTAAAGCAAAGGCACACATACAGTGTTCTTGACGGAAACGTTTGATCTAGATCTAGTTGTAAGAAAACAGAAGAATCCAGAATGTTGGGCATTCTGGTCTCGATTTTCAAGAAATTCAGTGGCACCAAGGTATAAGGAAGATAGGGTGAAGAGTCCTCTATTGCGAATATAATAGTCAAATGCAAAACATGACCCTTGACTGGATTCTGGACAAAACAAAGCAAAACAAAATACACATAAAACATGTGAGACAACTGAGGAAATCTGAAGATGAATGGTACACTGAAAGATGTTACATTTAGTTATCTTAAATGTTAATTTTCTCAAGTATAATTGTATAGAATACCCCATTCTTTAAACATATCTGCTGTAGCACTTATTTATTTATTTATTTTGGGGTGGGTCTCACTCTGTCACCCAGGCTGGAGTGCACTGGTGCAATCTCAGCTTACTGTAACCTCCACCTCCTAGGTTCAAGCAATTCTTGTGCCTCAGCCTCCTGAGTAGCTGGGACTACAGGAACACGGCACCACGCCTAATTTTTGTATTTTTACTAGAGATGGGGTTTCACCATGTTGGCCAGGCTGGTCTTGAGCTCCTGACCTCAAGTGATCCACCTGCCTTGGCTTCCCAAAGTGCCGGGATTACAGGTGTGAACCACCACACTTGGCCTGCTGTAGCAGTTAAAGGTAAGAGTTACGATGTCTACATCTCCATTAGGATGATTCTGCAAAAGGAATATATGTGTGCCTAAGTGTGTGTGTGTGTGTGTGTGTGAGAGAGAGAGAGAGAGAGAGTGGGAGAGAGAGAGACAGACAGAGGAACAGAGACAGAGAGAGACAAAGAAAGACCACAAGTGTGTGGGGGTGTGTTCATTTGGTAATCTAGGTGAGGGGTGCAGAGGAATACATTTAGTGTTCTTTATATGGCTTAAAATTTTTCAAAATATAAATCATAAAGTATGGTAGCAGCTCCTCATTGAAAGAAAAAAACGTAAACATGGTGATCTTGTGACTGGGCTATATGTAAGTCCAAACTCCGATTGATATTTTTATAAATATAAACTTTTAAAAATTCAGATTATGATAATTCCAAAGAACACCTCCACTCTGCTTTTCAAATCCAAATATTCACCTCTGTCCGATGAACCATTAGCCAGTTTCCATCAGATGTCTGCTTGTGAAATTCCAGGTATGGATCTGACTTTCCAAAAAGATCCTACATTTAAAACAAACAATAAAAAGCATTTATTCTCTGAACCCATGAAACCATGTGTGACCACACTTTATACGTGTTGGCAACCACCTGAAGTCTAACTCTATAGTGTTGGTAGTATATACACAACCCATCACCTTTCTTTTCTTTCCTTTTTTTTTTTTTTGAGACAGAGTTTCGCTCTTGTTACCCAGGCTGGAGTGCAATGGCGCGATCGCGGCTCACCACAACCTCCGCCTCCTGGGTTCGGGCAATTCTCCTGCCTCAGCCTCCTGAGCAGCTGGGATGACAGGCACACACCACCATGCCCAGCTAATTTTTTGTATTTTTAGTTGAGACAGGGTTTCACCATGTTGACCAGGATGGTCTCGATCTCTTGACCTCGTGATCCACCCGCCTCAGCCTCCCAAAGTGCTGGGATTACAGGCTTGAGCCACTGCACCCAGCCCCATCACCTTTCTCACTAACTTATAAACTTACTGAAGTCTACTAGGGAGAATTATCAAAGCGCTTGTAATAAATGCTCATAATCCTGTATATCATACCCTTACTTCTCAAAAACATGACAGTTTTAAAATACTGTGGTCAAATGTACCATAAGATCTGTTTTTGGCTTATTTTTACCTTTAACCATTTTCATTCACCTATCACTGAGTAGTTTTATATAAATGATATCACAAACATTAGTCACACCAACTCTAATGGAGGCAGGGCAGTTATCAGTGAGAAAAACAGATTCAGAGGAGTTAATGATTTTTCCCCAAGATCACATATCCAACTTACTGATGGATGCAGGCCTTAACTTCGTATCTCACCCTTCTATGTCCAAAACTCCTTCACCAATACCACACGTTTTTTTTACATACACAAATGACCAGAGGTAGATAAGTGGAACACATAATAGAAACACATTAAGGGCACATCTTTTATTTCCTCTGTAATTCACCACAGAACTTCTATATGATGCTCATGTACACTAAGTGCTCAAAAATACCCTTATCACAATCCTTAATACATACACATTCACACACATACAGAGAGATAAAATTCTGGAAAAATGCAGGAATCACTCACAGAGGTTAAACTCAGGTGGTAAGACTATGGATATTTTTTTTCTCATTTTCATGTATCTTCATTTTGAAATTTGCATATTCCTTAACATATATGACTTGTTATTTTTGAAAATGAAAGAACACTTGTTAATCCCACAGAAATACATGCAGATACATCCCTAAGCTGAAGATTGCTTTAGTCCTGAATTAACCACAGTATTAAATTAAGAACTAAAATAATTTTCTCTCTTAAACACAAAGTTTAATGTCAAGCAAATAAAATATTTGATAGTCAAAAATATAAACACAAAGACTATGTGTTTAACTTTAAGAAGAATCTTAAGTGAATGAAATAAACCTCTCCATGTCCCATTTAATAAACCTAAAAACAGCAATATAACAGAGAGAAGTGTACTTTTAAAAAACATACTAACATACCCTGTGTGACTTACCTTAAAAATAATCCTATGGAAAATGCAGAATATCCTTGTTATCATTTTGAAGGCCAAAAAAACAGTACTTGTTTGAAAGTTCATTAAGTTGTCAGTATTAGAACTAAAACAAGAATTAAACTCCCTGGCTCTGATCTCAAGGATATATTAAGTAAAAGAAGCAACGTGGAGGAAAGTGTACATCTAGTATGCTACACTTATGCAAGGGCTGGGGGTAGGGAATATAAATACAAATATACACATACATACTTATATATGAACACATAGATGAGTATACATACACACACACACAAATCCTTAGATATTTAAGAAACTGAATGATTAAATTATAAAAAATATAAAACATAACTTTTTTTTTTGATATGGAGTCTCGCTGTCACCCAGGCTGGAGTGCAGTGGCACAACCTTGGCTCATAGCAACCTCCGCCTCCTGGGTTCAAGCAATTCTCCTGACTCAGTCTTCCGAGTAGCTGGAATTACAGGCATGCGCCACCACACCTGGCTAATTTTTTATTGTTAGTGGAGATGGAGTTTCACCATTTGGTCAAGCTGGTCTCGAACTCCTGACCTCGTGATCTGCTTGCCTCAGCCTCCCAAAGTGCTGGGATTACAGGCGTGAGCCACCCGCCTGGCCAAAACACAACTTTTAAAAAATTATTATCTATGTGAAGGAAAGGGGAAGCAAGGTAGACAGGGAGAGAAGATAAATTTCTTAAACACCTTGTTTTAGATTTTTGAGACATGTAATCTTTTATGTGATTATAAAACAAAATTAAAATGTTTTTTTAAAAAGCAATCCCTAAATATCAAAAGCAAAATGAAACTAGTGTCAGCATAACCACACAAAAGAATCATTTCTCTAAATAATAAGAATGTGACTATATAAAAGCGGAATATATACACCTTAAAGACAAAAAGAACTTCAAAGAAAGTGCAAACTGTTTCCAGTAAAAACATCGTTAATAATAATATTGATATTTTCTTCTAAAACTAATATATATTATATGATTATATATTATGAGACAAAACAGATAAGCAGTTATGTTAATATCTTTAGCAATCAAGAGAAATGAGGTATCAATATAAAATTCTGTAATCCTATGCATTTTTGTTGTTGCTGTTGTTTTGTGTTTTTTGAGATGTCACCCATGGTGGATTGCAGCGGTAAGATCTGGGCTCACTGTAACCTCCCCCTCCTGGGTTCAAGCAGTTCTCATGCCTCAGCCTCTTGAGTAGTTGGGACTACAGGTGTGTGCTACCATGCCCGACTAATTTTTGTATTCTTAGCAGAGACAGGATTTACCATGTTCACCAAGCTGATCTTGAACTCCTGTCCTCAAGTGATCTACCCGCCTCCCAGAGTGCTGGGATTACAGGCGTGAGCCACCATGCAGAGCTAGTAATTCTATATTTGAATTGGAAATAGTTGTGTAATTTTACAATTTAGATTTTCTTAAAAAAAAAAGGTATTTTCTGTATCTGTCCACTGAAGAGCCCTAGAAACCATGAATGATAATAACACACAACAGTGAGTACCCTTAGCACTGGACTGTGGTCTCTAAATAACAATTCCACCAAAATGAAGTAAGATTCCTTTTAATTTGCCAGTCTGAGGCAGAAACTAGATTTTAAAAGCCTGGAACATGACTTATTAAAGACAAAAAGAACTTCAAAAAGAAGTCTTTGAATCTCTCGTCATTCCACACAGCAAATAAACTATCCAAACAATCCTGGAGTTTTGCCAAATGGTCTCATGAACAAACTTAAAGGGGTTCCCTCAGGCCAAAGCTGGAATAATTTAGACATCTATGAGAAGTAATCCATTGCAGTTATTAATATTTAAATCTATTACTTTACAGCAATTCTAAAACAGAACAAACAAAAAACTTCACTATCACATTTAGGGGATGCTAGGGAACCAACTCATAATTTTGAAAAATGGTAAATATGGAAGAAAACTCAAATATTTTAACTTGCCTTTCCTATATAAACTGTATGACAAAGTAAATAAATACCTAATGTGGAAAAGTTTATCTCTATACAAACATTCTTGCTAAGAAGCAAAAGCTATGATAGAGTGATGATATCACTATTTTACAGGCTCTTAATAATAAACCCAGGTAGTTACCATCAACGATCACTAACATCCCCAAAACACACAAGTTAGTGTGAGCCTCCTGATGGAATTGCATGCCACCAGCAATGAAACTGTCTTGCTAACAATTAAAAATACCATTAGATTATACTTCTAGATTCAATTGCCAGTTTACAAAAATCAGAAAACAAAAGTAGAAAAAGAAACATGTTAAATGACACCACAGGATTTATTTAGCCATCGCAGAATATGGAAAATTCTTTAAAAAAAAATTTTTTTTTAAAGACAGAGTCTTGTAATTATAGTGCACTACAGACTTGAACTCCTGGGATCAAGCCATCTTCCTGCCTCAGCCTCCTGAGGAGCTGGGACTGCGAGTGCACATCACCTGTGCCCAACTTCAATGTGGAAACTTCTGCAGGACAAAGAAATCAGTTTTCTCCATTGAATAAATTCCATGAATGAATGGAAGAATAGATAGAAAAGAGAGAGGGGAGGGAGGAAGGGGAGAAAGAAGTAAAAGGAAGGAAGAAATGTACAGATTTATAAAGACTTTAGAAACACTTTAAATATGTAATTGCTTAAAGTATCTTCGGAGATACATAAACATATTCATGGATGAAATGATATGAAGTCTGGGAGGAGAGAAAGTAGATAACGGTAGAGATTAAACAAAATTCGCCATGAGTTATAATTGTGGAAGATAGGTGATAGGAACATGAAATTATTTTTAAATAGTTTCCTGTTTCTGTATATATTTAAATTTTTCCACAATTAAAAAAAATGTCCCCAGCCTATAGTCTAAAATGTTTTCTTTATGTTTTTTTTTTTTCTTGAGACAGACACAGGCGAGAATGTGTGATTGCTGCTTACTGCAGTCTTGACTTCCTGGGCTCAGGCAATCCTCCCAACTCACATGAAACTGCAGGCACATGCCACCATGCCCAGGTAATTTTCATATTTTTTGTAGAGATGGGGTTTTGCCATGTCACCCAGGCTGGTGTCAAACTTCTGAGCTGAAGTGATCTGCCCACCTTGGCCTCCCAAAGTGCTGGATTACAGGCATGAGGTGGCTCTGCATGAAAGAGCCACATCTAGATGAAAGAGGTGAAGAGAAATGGGTTCTGTTTAAACATATATACACACACACATGCAAAATTTGGAAGTAACTAGTACCCTATGTGATGTTCAGAAGATGGAGTTCACGATATTAACTGCATTTTTATTTTCTCATAAGAAAGAAGCAAAGCACAACATCCTTGTTGAAGTCTGCACAGTCTACCCACCTTATTATCCAGTTTTCTGGCTGCCATTTCAAACAGGACCACTCTGTTATCTTTTATTTCTTCAGCTGAAATCTATGAGTAGACAAGATAAGTGAAAGAAATATGTTTTAGGAATTCTGATATACTCCTAAGCACTGATTTATTCTGTTACCTAATATAAAGCCTACACTAATACAAATGAATTCTAAAATGTTTCATAAGAAAATGGCATAATTAAGAAAGATCTAACATTATTTATTTTATGTGTATGAAATAAAGATTTTCCCAAAAATGCCCAGGTCTGCATTTAGCAATGTCTTTTGAAATGTGGTTGCCCAAACTGGATCTTCCCCATCCAAGGGAAACATCAAAACCCCAGAAGACTGAGAATATCCTCTGCAAAACACTTGCTAAAGTTCCCTAAACACTGAGAAGCATGAATAAATCATACCTAGAACACTCTATAAGTTGAAATTATCAGATCAATGTTTTTCATCCAGTGTAACTGAAAGATTCTTTCTACTTAAAAATAAGTATCAGTCTCTCATGCTCTACAGCAAGGATGCTAACTACTGATAATATTCTCTTTCCCACAAAAATCAACACCCCTGGACATTCTTATGCCTTTGGAAATCTAAACTAGAGCCAACCAGCTGCTCAGAGAAATGTATTTGATAATCACAATAATCTTGAAACATAGCTCTCTCAGGGAGCTACCCTTACATTCTCAGAGGGAGCTAAAGTTAAAATACTATCACTCCAGGCAACACTCTAGAAGATAAGGTTTACAGGCTTGGCATTATATAATTGGAAACGTGAAATGTAATAAAGCATATGTTCATTTGCTCGGAGCCAGTAGTCAGCAATGAAAAGCTTAGGTAGGAGGATAGGCAGCAGAGAACAAGCACAATAAATAATGGTAAAGAGTTTATAGGTTCAATGGCCATATCATAATATAACATCCCTCTGGAATAAAATCCACTAGGAAAAATTTCTGTCACGTTGAGAGGACTATGTTTCCCCAGTAGAGAACCAAATTGATCCAGATTATTAAGCAGTTTCTCTCTAACATAAGAATTGACACTTCCACAGAGGAGGGGCAGGTATCACCCACGTGCACTTGACCTTTATGGGCAACTAAAAAAACTGAAAGAAGGGACTGCCACACTGCATGTTTCTCCTTGTTTGCACAATACATTTCCCATTTGTGATCACTACAAGACAAGGTGGATAGAATACAACATTCAAGATTGAGTGACAAAGCATGGCTGTAGAATAGTTGTCTAGTATGCACAGTTTTGGCATGCCCTATTATGCCAAATCTTCTGAGACAAAAGACAGCTATCTTATTTTTACCGTAATGCTCCCATTTCCTGCAGGTCTGCCATTTTTCAGCATCAGTGGTCGAGTTAGCTTCTTACTGGAAACAATCTGTTAGAATTAGAAAGTGATACAGAGTCATTTCCCTTCATCCTATGAATTTTTAAATGAAAATAGTTTCAGCAAAAAAAGACTGAGTATGAGGTTCACTTCAAGTCAGTAGAAATAGAAGCATGAGCCGGGCTCAGTGGCTCACGCCTGTAATCCCAGCACTTTGGGAGGCCAGCAGATCACAAGGTCAGGAGTTCTAGAGCAGCCTGACCAATACAGTGAAAACCCGCCTCGACTAAAAATAACAAAAATTAGCTGGTGTGGTGGTGTCTGCTTGAAGTCCCAGCTACTCAGAAGGCTGATTGAGGAGAATTCCTTGAACCTAGGAGGCAGAGGTTGCAGTGAGCCGAGATCTCTCCTCTGTACTCCAGCATGGGGGACAGAGGGAAACCCCATTTCAAAAAAAAAAAAAAATAGAAAATTAAGTTGGTTTTTTAAAGATTTAGAGATTGTGAAGACATTTAAAATTCATCAACATATTTAAAACCCACTGGAAAAAACTTCCAAGGAAAAAACTTGCCAATTCAACCCTGGCAGATACGATCTCCCTATTCACTAGTTTCCTAACCTCCTGTGTATGTCAAAGTTTAAATTGTTCCTCGTAATGGAAAAAGAGGACTGGATTCTCATTGCATAAATAAATCACTTAGCTGAAACCTTCTAGGTAAAAGGTGGGCTTCAGAACACTCAATAAATGAGATTCAAGGCCAGATGCAGTGGCTCACACTTATAATCTCACCCTTTGGGAGGCTAGGGTGGGAGGAACTGCTTGAGCCCACGAGTTCAAGACTAGCCTCGGCAACATGGCAAAACCCGTCTCTACAAAAATATACAAAAATTAGCAAGGTGCAGAGGCATGTGCCTATGGGAGGCTGAGATGGGAGGATCACTTGAATCTGGGAGGTCAAGGCTGCAGCGAGCTGTGATCAAGCTACTGCACTCCAGCCTGGGTAACTGAGTGAGATCCTGTCTCAAAAAATAAAAAACAAAAAGGATTCAATTTTTCTATTGACACACCAACTTCAATATTTAACTCCCATAAAATCTCATATTGCTTGAAGGAATATAGTATACCTAGGTTCTTTCAAATAGATATACCTCTGATATATCTCACAGATTCATAGAAATTTTAGCTACACTGGGATTTTTCCCCCATAAAAGGAATAATTCCTTAATTTTTTCTTTGATATTATTTATTAAAATTTTAAAAAACTGATCAGTTTCATATTGTTTTTAAGATACAGAAAATACCATAATCTCCAAACAATTCAACCCTGAAAAATAAAACTTATAAAAGACATACGGAATTGACAAATGTCACATATTAAAAAAGAATTACTCTTCCCACCTAAAACCTTCTTCAGTCTTTATAATCTCTCCTTATAAATCATATTAACCTAGGAGCCAAATGGTGAGCCATGAGACACATCCCTACCTTGACCAAATGTCATATACTGGGAAGACAGATAATTAAGCAACTATTAAAAAGTATGCTGAGATGTACTACACAGTACCAAGTGAGCTCAGAAAAGGGTTCCAAACTAATATAGAGGGTCAGAGAAGGTTTATGGGGGAATAAGGTTGAGTAAGAGCAAGCCAGGTAAAGTGGGTAGTGTTGGGGCATTGGGAGTCAGGGGATACCAGTCTCACTAGTTAGAACATCAGAGAAGTTGCTGTTATCTTTATAGCACTTATGACTTGAACATAACGAAACCATAGAGAACTCTGTGGCAGCTAAAGTTGGGGTGTTTTACTGAAATGCCTCATGAAGCATCCCTTACACAAAAGAATTAATAGGTTTTTCCAGAAATACATCGTTACTGCCCATACAAAATATAAGATGAATTCCACAATGTTCAAGCCAATCATGTTAATATATAAACTGTCTTTAAAGGATTAAATGCTTTTCAACTTTAAAAAGCAAATGATGCTTACCGAAAACACCCAATTCATTGACTGAAATTTAGACAAAATAGAGTACAGTGGCTATTTATACTTACTTGTCCAAGGGTACATTCACATTCCCCTAAGAAGTCATCGTCACTCAGCTCAATAGTTTTGTTGTCGATGTCATAAACCCCAAATTTCAATTTCTGAACCACTTCAAAGTAGTAATCAATAATAAATGTCTTGGAAAACTGAGGATTCAAGCAATTCTTAATTCTTTCTGTGCGCTCAACCTACACCCATCCCCAGAAACAAAAAAGTTTCTTCAGATCAAAGGTGCACTTGGATTTTCACATACACATGTATTAAACATAAACACAGGCATGACAACTAAAGGAAGTTTCTATATGTGTATGAAAAATTCTACAATCAAGGACAAACTTTCACAAAAAACTCCATTAATAGATGGGATAGTATTATTTTTAACATTAAAAAAAAAAACCCTCTTCAGATTATTAAAAGGTAGTTCAGATTACTTCCTGGCTAAAGTATTTAACATTACCTCATACCACTGTTGACCACTTGTATTCAAAAATAACACACATAAAGGGTCTGACTTTGACCCTACATCTTTATCCAAAAGATTGGCACAGGAAATATTCAGCTCCACCTTCGTGACACACTGGGCAGCCATGTCTTGAGCTCTGAGAAAATCAATACAAAGAGAAAGCAAGTAAAATGATGCCTTTAAGAAGCACACTCATTCCTAACAAAAATAGGTGAATTCTTAAAACCAGCTGTCACAATAGGCTTATAGAGCGTACTTGCTAGAATCAGACTGTTCTATGTGCCTCCTCAGGATGTAGGCCTCTATTAACTCATTCCAATGATATTGCCTCCATCAGATTCTCTTGCTAGGATAAAATTAACTTACTGAATGACAGCAAAATGCAGCCTTTAGGATGGCCAATAAGACATACTAATCTTCTTGGCCAGGCTCAGTGACTCACGCCTGTAATCTGTAATCCCAACACTTTGGGAGGCTGAAGCAGGAGGACGGCTAGAGCTTAGGAATTTGAGACCATCCTGGGTAATACATCAAGACTTTGTCTCTACTAAAAATAAAAAAAATTAGCCAAGCGTGGTGGCGTGTGCCTCTAATCCCAACTACTAGGAAGGCTGAGGCAAGGGGATAGCTTGAACCCAAGAGATTGAGCCTGTAGCGAGCTATAATTGTGCCACTGTACTCCAGCCTGGGCAACAAAGACTCTGTCTGGAAAAAACAAACAAATAAAAAAACTAATCTTCTTTTCACCTTACTATAAATTTTATCATTCAGAAAAACTCCAAGTATGATCCTTCATTTAAAGGTACACAGAGCATTATGCTACAAAACAGATTAAGTGACAACCTTACTTGTATTTTGTTTATTTAACAAGATGCTGAGTGGGATATTTTCTTTTTTCAAAGATTTTTTTTTTAGTTAAAACCAAAAGCCCCCAAAGCTCCCTTTTCCCTCCACTCTATCCCCAGCTCCCAATATTTTGTAGCAGTGGTTCTCAATATTGGCTGCTTCCTGGAATCATCTGGGGGAGCTTTCAAAGCTACTGATGCCAGAGTCCCATTTAAAAAGATTTTAACTGGGTTAGGGTACGACTTGGACATCGGCTCTTAGACAATTTTAACATGTAGACAAGGTTGGCAAGCCTACTGTTCTACAGAGAGAAGGTGTGGCCTATCTTCCCTTATGACTTGCTAAGAAATACCAGGGGTTAGCTTAACTTCCATAGACCCCTCCTTTCCCAGTCTCCCACCAATATATGAAAAAGACTGGGAATAGGGTGGACCTCATGTTGGGGGCTGGACTTGAGAAATAATGCAGTATTTCGGGCGAACTGCCTTCATCCTTAAACCCAGGGAATGAAAGTGGCTGCAGATGTTACCAAGAAAAGGAACCAGGCATTCCATTTCCCATCTGGATGTCCACTTAGCCAGTGGAGGTTGATGGTGCTAGGGCAGTTTCTGCAGGAGGGAAGGTATATACTACCCTAAAGTGCTGGCAAACATCCTTACAATAGGAAGTATTTAAAGCCCTTTGCCCTCCACTTTGAGATTTAGCTGAAGTTCTAGGACCAGAGAAACAAATCTTACCCATTATCTTGTTATATTTAAATATGGCAGTAGGATTCCTGTGCTGTATAAAATTCCTAAGCAAATCTGAAATAACAAAGACTACCATTAGAAGAGCCCTTCGTAATGTCAAAAAACGACTGTCTCATGAAAAAAAATTTTTTTTGAGATGAAGTTACATTCTTGTTATCCAGGCTGGAGTGCAATGGTGTGATCCTGGCTCACTGCAACCTACCCCTCCTGGGTTCAAGTGATTCTCCTGCCTCAGCCTCCCAAGTAGCTGGGATTACAGGCATGTGTCACTACGCCCGACTAATTTTTTGTATTTTTAGTAGAGACAGGGTTTCTCCATGTTGGTCAGTCTGGTCTCGACCTCCCAACCTCAGGTGATTCACCCGCCTTGGCCTCCCAAACTGCTGGGATTGCAGATGTAAGCCAGCGTGCTGGGCCTAAAAAGTTTTGATAATTCTATTGACCTCTAAAAACAGTAGCAGCCATCAACATATGTCAAAAATCAATACCAAGATTCCTAAACAGAGACTGAGAAAAATGAAGTAGGTTGCATAGTCTTAGAAGTAGCTAGAAATTTTGCTTAAAAACAAAGGTGGCTGGGCATGGTAGCTCATACCTGTAACTCCAGCATTTTGGGAGGCCAAGGCTGGCAGATCACTTGAGGTCAGGAGTTCAAGACCAGCCTGGTCAACATGCTGAAACCTCTTCTCTACTAAAATACAAAAATTAGCTGGGTGTAGTAGCATGAGCCTGTGGTCCCAGCTACTCGAGAGGCTGAGGTAGGAGCATTGCTTCAGACTGGAAGGCAGAGTTTGCAGTGAACCAAGATCATGCCACTGTACTCCAAACTGGGTGACAGAGTGAGACCCCATCTCAAAAAAATAAATAAATAAAATAAGAAATAAATATATCTTATATGTATAATATATATTTGATATCTTTTCACATATAATATATATTTATATACATAAGATATATATATTTAAATAGTGCCTAGTATACAGTGAGTGTTCACCTTTTATCATTATTATTATTTTATCACTACCTCCTTCTAGAGTCTGATCCTCTCTTATCTATCCCATATTTTATATTTTTTTATTATTCTATTCCAAGATGATATCCTGATTATTCCAATCCATACTAAGTTGTTCCTTTGAATTCCTATTGCACTAATAGTAACGGATCACTGCAGTACAGGAACAAGATCAAATTTGGGGTAATGCACACCTGGGTTGAACCCTGCATCTGGCACTTGCTGTGTGACCATGTATAAGTAACTTCAACTTTCTGAGCCTAGATTTCCTCATCACTAAAAATGGAGATACTATAAGTAAACTTGTAAATCTGGCATGTGCCAGGCATCCTGTTTTTTGTATCTGACACAGAATCTATAAAGTAAATGTTAGTTGTATGATTTTTTTTTTTGCATAAGGTAGTTTAGAGTCTTATAAGTTGTATGTCAGCCATACCAAGCATAAAGCAGTGCCCTGTAGGTGAATACAGAATGAGCAATGATTGCTAAAGCTCCCAAAAAACAACAGGTAGAGGATTCTCTACCAGCCAGCAGAAAAGTCTTCAATTTCCAAGGATGGGGAGAATTCAAAAGAGAATGAAATGTGAAGTCAGTCTCACAGCAAAGAGACACAACATATCAGAAGAGCATTATTGTTTTCCCTAAAAATGCTTATACAAAACCTACAAAAACAACGTGCCAGGCACAGCTGATTATTTAACAAATTGCTGACAGTTACACTACTGCATTGCTGCCAGGAAACAAATTTCCTCTATTAGCATCATTCCCCTCTGAAAATGACTCTGACTGTGGCCTCAATTTTATCCTGAAACCCATTATGGCTAAATGGCAAATGGAAGAAATTACATAAACACTAGGGTCTGGAATCTTGCTAACAGTAATTTTCATGAAGATGCCCTTTTCATTTCCTTTTAATGTAATTATCCACTACGTGATATACATAAAAGTGCAATAGCATACTTTATCCGAAAATTATAATGGGAGCTGGGCATAGTGGTTCACACCTGTAATCCCAGCACTTTGGGAGACTGAGGCAATAGAATTGCTTAAGCCCAGGAGTTCAAGACCAGCCTGAGCAACAGAGACCTCATCTCCACAAAAAATCTAGGCCGGGTGCAGTGGCTCATACCTGTAATCCCAGCACTTTGGGAAGTTGAGGCAGGTGGATCACCTCAGGTCAGGAATTTGAGACAAGCCTGGCCAACATGGTGAAACCCTGTCTCTACTAAAAATACAAAAATTAGCCAGGCGTGGTGGCACATGCCTGTAGTCACAGCTACTTGGGAGGCTGAGGCAGGAGAATCACTTGAACCTGGGAGGTGGAGGTTTCAGTGAGCCTAGATTGTGCCATCGCACTCCAGCCTGGGTGACAGAGCAAAACTCAGTCTCAAAAAAAAAAAAATTAGCCAGCCAGGGTGGCACGCACCTGTAGTCCCAGCTATTCGGTAGGCTAAGGCACGAGGCTTATGAAGCCCAGGAGTTGAAGGCTGCAGTAAGCTATGCACTGCAGCGTGGTGACAGAGCAAGACCCTGTCTCAAAACAAACAAACAAAATATATAATGAGAGAAAACAAATGTTTTATACTCTTTTAGCATGAAAGATTTGGCTAGGATAAGTGACCTGGCAAAGAATGAATGAGCAACTAAAGAATAATTCTATGTAGTATTTTACTCCCTAAAGAGCAGGATGATAGAAAACACAAATAATCCCTAGGATTCTCCACTGTACAGACTACTTATAGTAGGTATTGGGTCAATAATTTGACCCAAACACCTCTTCCGAAATGCAAATAATCCCCAGAAATATCAAACATATCAAATACAAAAATTATAGTATTGGGTCAATAATTTGACCCAAACACCTCTTCCAAAATGCAAATAATCCCCAGAAATATCAAACATATCAAATATTCTTCCAGTTACCCTGATGTTCTGAATCACTATTATAACAGAGATAAACCTAAGAAACTGAGAATTAAGACTTAATATTTAAAGCGGTACCTGATAGGTGAAATTTAAGGCAAGTGGTTATTACTATGCCCTGGCTGAAAAATCCTGAAGTCTTATCTACTTCCTCTTTTCCCATTCCCCCTGAAACCTATTCTTAGATTTATTCAGTAAAGATGTCATAGGGATTCTGCCAACTAGAACCCCGAATCTCTCCCAAACATGGAAATACAGCCCCTTCCCCATACCCAGAGTAACAACCCTAACTTCAGGTCTTCTGTATCTCTTACCTGCCCAATATAATAGCCTCCCAATGGGTATTTCCACTGCCGTCTTCTCTCCATTCACATTATGATTTTATCACTTCTGATTAAAAAGTGATAGTCCAATGAATTAAGCCTGGAATTCATGGCTCTGCCAACATCGACCCCTAGTCTACCTGAACAGCTACTTCTGCCCATCCAAGTTCTTCAAGATCCACTTCAGGCTAGGTACAGCGGCTCATACCTGTAATTCCAGCACTTTGGAAGTCCAAGGCAGGCGGATCACTTGAGATTAGAGTCCAAGACTCAGCTTGGCCAACATGATGAAACCCCGTCTTTACTAAATATGCCAAAATTAGCTGGGTGTGGGGGTAGGTGCCTATAATCCCAGCTATTTGTGAGGCTGAGGCAGGAGAGTCGCTTGAACCCAGGAGGCGAAGGTTGCAGTGAGCCGAGATGGCGTCACTGCACTCCAGCCTGGGTGTCAGAGTGAGACTTTGTCTCAAAAACAAAACAAAACAAAAAACAAACACAAAATAAACCTCTTCAAATGGTACTTCCTCCATACAGCTGTTGCTGATACCCCTAATACTGTTAGGGCACTGATTCCATTTTCTTTCCACTATGGTTACTTGTATTTGTGGCTCATCATTTCATCTATGTACTGTGGGCTGTGGACAGCGACCATATTTTACCACTTCCTCTTCTTCCTGAAGCATAATATCTGACACAGGTTATTTGTAGCAGAAAGAGCAATAACTTTGGAGTCAGTATGGGTGGTTCAAATTTCTTTCCCACCACTAATTTGGATGTGTCACCTCTGCCAAATTATCTATCTGAACTTCAATTTCCTCATCTATAAAATGAGGATATTAAAAAACCCTGACACTAGTCCTTCAATGTAAATAAGGTTAAGAGAAAAATAAAATTAATATAAACCCTGACAATTGTAGGTTTGTGGCATGTTCAACATGTAACAGACACTCCATGAATTGTAGCAATTATTTTACTAATGACTAGGAGATTTTAATTGTCTCAGAATAGATGGCTTATTACTAAGTAGCAGACATAAAGCAACTTTCTCATCCTTATTTATGAAGAGTTTCTTGAAACAATAATAATTTTGAGGATTTACATAAAATTGATTTGGCAAAATAGCCTTGACTACAGATAAGGTACGCGGGTGAGGGGAGTGCAGGCCCATGTCTCATAATGTGTCCTAAAACAATTGTGAAGGAGATATTAGAATTACTAATATCTTTAGTAAAGTTCCTTCAGTCTTCCGCTGAAAAATGAAGAGACTGGTCTACTGTAAAAAATTCTCATAATTTCCTTCTCTTTCTAATACCATGATTCACTAACTGCTATTCCGCAGTACATTCTGCCTGACTGCTACTGAAAGCAAGCAAGGGCAACCTTGGGTCAGCTGGAACCAGCCCAGCAACATCAGTAATAAACACCCTTGGCAGTGTTTCTCAAACTGTGTTGCACAAAACAGTAATAAATGTTCCCCTATTAAAAAAAAAAAAAACTGGCAGAGCAGGTACTATGGCTATAAATCCAAAAGCTGCTACATTTCTGAGAGTTCCCAGGTCCAATTAGCAAGTGTATTTATTACTGTAAATCCATTATTTTGCTAAGGACAGCAGGGACACTATACAGCAACAGATAAGCTTGTAGCTCATTATAATAAAATTGGGACAATCCATTCATAAAAGAATTACTTATTGAATACTTTCTGGGTGTTCCAAAAGTGGGGGTTGGGGAGGAGACAAAAATGAAATAAATACTTAGCTACTTAGCTACCTATATATACATAGAAATAATATACA